CCAGCTGTGACAAAGCTACAAACTCCATTATGGCAATGTCTTTGGGGGTTATGCCTGTGGCTATCAGTCATGCATTGCCTCATGGGACTTGTAGTTCCAGTTCCAGCTGGGGTGTGGAGGTTGCCTACCCCTGGTATAGATGCAGGTGGACTAAACATGAAATGAATTGCGTCAGTTACAGAATTACAAAAGTACCGAGGACTAAACTGGACAGCACCAGGACTATGAGGTTCTGATAGAAAATGGCAGTGGGACTGCATCAATAATCAAAAGAAACCCATGGCACACCTGACCGGATAATACCCTCCAGTATCGGGTGGGTGCCAAGCGACCACAGATGCCTCCGCAAATCAGTATAAATATGAAGAAGTCACTCGCACTCCAGCCCAAGTTCAGACAATATTTTATTGACCTCGGTGGTGTCACAACATGGCGATGTTTCGGAACCCGTTTGGTCTCTTCATAAGGCAAACATAATTGAAGGGACCTAAAGGGTTCTGAAACGTCGCCATGTTGTGACACCACAGAGGTCGATAAAATATTGTCTGAACTTGGGCTGGAGTACGAGTGACTTCTTCATATTTAGACTGACTGCACCAATATGTCCCCCTCAATGAACAGAATATAGAACCTCTGCATCCTATTAGAACAATGACAGTGCCCCGAAATGCGTCTTTAATATACCGATATGGCAGGAAGTGGTTTGTGTAGAACAGGTAAGTAAAGCCAGGTAAACCCGGGCAGACAAATGGGGCTTTACAAATGGGTCACGACTTTGTCTAAGGACTGTTAAAGCGACTATCCTGGACTATTCTCTTTATTAAAAACATAAGAGGCCTCAGAGACTGGATAGATAGCGCCCATGTCAGCCATTGTAACCAATCGGATGCAACCTACGTTTTTCCAGCAGACGCCAGATTAATACATTGGCTAGTCTAGGGCTCATCTATCAGTGTGTGTGGCAATAAGTCTCACCGTCTGTGTTGCTTATTGTAACCAATATCAGATTTGGGCCCCCAGTACAGAAGAGGCAATGATAGGTTGGAAATGGGCAGCGCAGGCCACTGTAGGCCTCCAGCAGTCAGTGCGGCCCATAGCAGCCAACTGCGGCCTCCTCTCAGGCAATCCTATCGGTTGCTATGATAAGCAAACCCATTTAATGTATTCCTATCCTGAGGCCTACTGTGTTTATAAAGTCCTCACTGCCATGTTCAGTCACCAAAAAGTAAGCAAGATAATCAAGATTAAAGTAAACCTATCAGAAGAAAAACATGGAGGCTGCCACCTCAGACCTTCCCTTATCAAAATCCTAGTTGTCTGATGTACTGACCCTCACGGTGCAATATATAGAGTCACTGACAGAGTAGGTATAGCACATAAGGACTTCTGGCTCTTCTCTGACATTCCTGATTCAAGTGCTTGTCCCAGGACTTTGCCTCAAAGTACAAAAGCCAGATGGTCTACATAATGGGCCAGTCAGAAGGAGCACAGCAATGGCAGCCCACCTATGTCAGGCTTTCTTTGAAGTGAACTTGTCATTCCCCCATAATTGTTAACATTACAGCCCGTTCAGTGGACTCTGGGAGGCCCTCAATGTCAGGTACATGCCGTACGTTGAGTCTCGTATCGCTGCCATGTTCCCCAAGCCATCTCACTGCACAATGAGGCCACCACAAGCCACAATCATCTGCCCCCCCATGTTTACTGCGACTACAACTTCCTATTGTCTGTGGAAACGTTCACTGGCAGCCAGAACCCACAGAGGCTCCAAGGACGGTAATTGCTTTGAATCGGCCCGAAAATGTCTTTGTAGATTAAAACAGCTTGGCAGCCCAGAACACTCCTGATGCAAAATAATGAACTCTGAATTGTCATTCTCTTAGAACCAACCAAATCTGTATTTTCATATTCATAGGACTAGCTATGTACGGAGGGTAAACCTACGTGAAGGTAAAATTAAACAGCAGCCCTACAAGGCTGCACCTCCTTCAAACTGGGCCAGACCATGTTGAGTTTTCCCCCTTTAGGGTCTGGCTGAATTTCTTGGGCCAGGATTTCAGTTCTAAACTTTAGAAAGACCCCACTGACCCAAAGCAGGAGAAGAATGAGAAGGGTGTAAGGAGCACATGCAGGATAGGGGTCTCCTTGGGAACGCAAGATGATTGAAGGACATGAAGGTACTCTCTGGTGCCTGCTTGGCCTGGAAGCTGTACCTCCACCATCATATCACCACAAAGGACAGATTGGGTTGCATACAACAGAATAGGAGTGGCTTCTATACCTGATGGCTTATTTCCCTGGGACAGACCTGTCATAAGCTGCTAAATCAGCTACAAATGCCCTATTCTTGTAGTTCTCTCATATGTCTATTAGAGGAGCCCACCACAGGCACGGTCTGTCAGAACTACAACAGCTGGCCGAATACAACAATATGGACGGGGAATTTAGGTCTTTTTTTTGCCCCATTCATCCCAGCCCAGCCAGTCAAGATGGCCAAAGACTCCAAACCAAGAAGACCGGGAAAAGATCAATATGCCGGTGACAGGGGGTGGGGGGTTCCACGGCTGTCAAATCGCTAGGAATGGGCACTCAGGGTAAGAGGTGCCATAATAAGCAAATACGCTCTCACCATACTTGCACATTATGGCAACAACTGCAGGGGGGCCCGTCGTTCCCAAGCAGTTCCACTTTAGGCATCAAGGCCTCTATGTAAGCTACTCATAGATTTGGGAAGTTATCCGTGTAAGCGTGATTAGAGCACCTTCAGAGCCAGATGTAGGTTGCATATACATGTAAAAGGTCAGTTCTGCAGATCTTATGAGTTTATATAAGTGTGAGGGGTGTGTGAAGGTGACCAGCACCAACCTATCATGGGGAGCAGGAGCAAGTGGGAAAGGTTCCTAATCTGTCCAATGAGCCCATACTCAACCTCAAACATGAGATCCTCATCTGATCTCTTAATCTTATTGAGTAAAAATTATTATATGATTTGCTTGCCTGAAACAGCTCCTGATTTTCGCAGTGAAATAGGCATGGATCAATTTTAATGTATTCAGTTTAAGTTATGACTGACAACATGGAAAATATTTGCGCCATCACAGAAGTCCAAAACGAGGCAGGACTAATGTGCATTAACGAATGTGTTTTTGTGCATTGTGCTAAGGCAGCCCTTTCATTATGAATGGGTTCTCAATGCGCCTCATTGGAGGCGCATTGGGCAGTATATGTATTGAGAACCACATTTGTTAAGATGTACAGTATATGTGCATTCGGGGACCAGTCAGATAGAAAACGCAACTGCAAGCCATCATCTAAAGCTTACCCTGCATGAGCGGTTTTTCATTTTGGAAAATGTTGAACGGGGTTATAGTTTATCAAGGTTGCCCAAATTTCACAGTGATGCTGGAATACAGATTGGCGCAATGTGATGTGAAGCTACATAATGCTACCCCTGACAATTTTAAAACCAACACAATAGAGGACACTTCACCCAGCACGGTTTTGCCCCCTCCTGGGGCTTAATCATAGACTTTCTACTGCCCTAGTACGGGCTGAACGCATCCGGTAGAGGTGCTGGGTGAAGTGTTCTCTATTGTGCTGGAACAATAAAGTTTGTTTTAAGCTTCTAAAGCACACTATACGAATTTTGGCCGGTTCTTGATGAACTCGCCCAGAGGGTTCCTTTTGGCCGGCATCCTTCAATTATCTGAAGGAAGGAGCTGGTTGGGAAAATCATCAAACGAACATAGGTGGCAGCCAATGAGCTGCAGCCTCTGTTGCGGTATTCCGACAGTGGCCGCCATCAGAATACAATGCAAACAGCAGGGATTCCTCTCGTAAGCGCTGTTGGGGGAATCTGTTATTTTTTTTCTTGGTTTAGCCCTCGAGTTGAATGAAGAAAATATTACAGCGTATGGCGAGCTTTAGAAGTAAAGGTGTGTGGTCAATCAAGAGGACAAACAGAGAGGAGCTTGGGTTCAGCCAACCCTTAAAATACATTGCTTTCTTTTTTTTAATTTTTTTGGAAGGACTCAACACCTGAAAACTGAAAACCAACCGACTTCCCAAGAATGGGCTGTAAAGTCCCAAAAAATGTCAATCCCTGTGGTTGAATGCCGATAGGCTGAAAGCTACTCAGTATCACTAGGAGAACAGGAGGGGTTCCAAGCGGGTCATTGTAAATACTAGCAGCAAAGGGAGTGTGAGAGAGTGTAGAGTCCCCTCCCCCCCCTCCCCTTTGAAAATGGAAGACTTCTATACACAAAAAATGGCCAGCGGAAGATACAACTCCCATTCTAACTGGGCCAAACGCATATAAAGATCTCACGTGCCTAAGTATGTTAAGGCATCCTACACACAAAGTCTACTCCCTGGTGAATAGGCCGAAGCCTGCCCCACCCCCTTTCCTGATATCCTGTCATTGAGAGCCATATAAAATGTTACTTGACCACCCAAGAGGGAGCGAAAATAAACATTTATTGAGAAATTATAGTTTTTCTTTAGCACTTATTTACAGCAAGCTGTTATCTTTCGGTCCCATGTGCAAGAAATGTCTTCTGGGCAAAACACAAGGTTCAAAAACGAAAAAAAGACAAAAACAAAAAACAAAAAGAACAAAAAAACCAAGGAGAACAAAAAAACCAAAAACATTCACACAAACAGAACTTTTTTCTTCTTCATATAACCTGGTCTTCTACAGCCAACTGCGGCTTTTATATAGGACTACAAAACTAAAGTTCAACTGCAAGGATAACAAAATAAAACTTTACTCGGCGACAAGCACGTTACGTCCCTGTTAGACTGAGATCCCGTCCATCGGTTTGGTCTAGCCCCAAGGCGATATGAGGGATTATTAAGGTCGGGTGTCTTTACGGGCATATTATAACCCATGGCGCCCAGCGGAATCAGTTTAAGATGCGACACCCCTCGTGGTTCAGCCGCCTGTTTTTTTTTTGTCGCACAGGCAGCCGGCGCCGGGGACTTGTGTTTTGTTTTTTTTGTCTGGGCCGTCAAAAATAAAACCGGAAAGGAACCATTGTCTGTTAAGTGTGCCCGTTCAAGAACATAAGGTCCTTTGTTTTTGCATGTGCCCCCCGTGTGCTTCTGTTGCGGCTCGTCTCTGCGCACGCGGATCTGCCCGTAAACCCTTTCATATATGTCTATGTTTTAGTCCAGGAATAACTTCCTACATCCCATGCGCGAGCGGTTTGATCGTCGGATGTCGAATTTGGTGTCTCGGCACTTTTGGCAAACGTAAATCTCTGGAACGTTGGACTTGCGGATTTTGGCACAGGAGAGGTGGACCCAGGTATTGCACTCGTTGCACTCGATCATCGGCCGACCGGCGAATGGCTTCATGCAAAAGCACGTGACGAGATGCCAAGATTCATCATCTGAAAAGAAAAAATGAAAAAGTGGTCAGGAATGATGTATAAATATTGCAGACTTTAGATTCATGCAGTCAGGGAACACTGCACAGCAAGCTGTAGTCATCTCTTAGGTTCAGTCTTATTCAGCAGTGCAGGGATCACAGCCAATCAGAATCCATCTAGTGCTGCTCTGACCTCAGCACAGTGAATTCTGATTGGCTCCTTTGAACTCCAGCACATTGCCCTTTATTAATTGAGGTTTTCAATGCCGGTTTATGGCAGGCGGCAGAAATCAGGTTGCTACAGACAACTCTTAACCCGCTTCTGGCAGCATGGGGTCGGGCTTTATACGCCATACTGCCACATATACACCCAGCCAGCATCACAGCACGGTGACTGACACCTCCCGGTCACTGTTTACAACTGGGGGCCAGCAGCATGGGCTCCTGATCATGTGACTACTATGACAACCAATCACACAGATCATGAGTCCACCTACCGGACCCCCTAAAAGGGCACGCTTACATAATAGTAAGAATTCCTGATAATAAAACACGGCTGACAGAAGATTCCAGTTTCTTGTAATAATTAATAATAAATGTTACGTCTCCATTTGAAATCCACCTGCCATGAAAGAAACATGTGGGCTGTCATGTCTGACCTCTTTCTGAAAATGCTAGTTGCTTGACTTCCTGTCATGACAAGAAGCACAAAGCTCGAAGAACAAAATGTCACATGACCAGGTAGCCATTTTGAGACCGTACCTAAACATTCCTGATAATGACAGGAAGCACAAAGCTTGAAGAACAAATGTCACATGACCAGGTAGCCATTTTGAGACCGTACCAAAACATTCCCGATAATGATAGTTGGCTGACTTCCCGTCATGACAGTAAGCACAAAGCTCGAAGAACAAAAATGTCACATGACCAGGTAGCCATTTTGAGACCGTACCTAAACATTCCTGATAATGACAGGAAGCACAAAGCTTGAAGAACAAATGTCACATGACCAGGTAGCCATTTTGAGACCGTACCAAAAACATTCCCGATAATGATAGTTGGCTGACTTCCTGTCATGACAGGAAGGACAAAGCGCTCGAAGAACAAATGTCACATGACCAGGTGGCCATTTTGAGACCGTACCTAAACATTCCCGATAACACAGACTACAAGCTTGATGCGCTGGTGACACTAAAGCACTTTTGTATATTTACAAGCTCCTCATAACATGCTTAATGCCACTGAACATCACAAAATGGCCGCCTGCTTGTAGACATTGCTTATCAGGGTCTGAAGCCAGAAATGTCCAGACTGCTTTGTTCATGGCAGCAAAACAGATTATCTTCTCACACTGCAGCGGGGGAATAATTAGCCATTGAAAACAATGACAGACGCTGATAAACTAAGCGCACCGTGATCAGGCCGAGGACTGGGTTTGAGGTTGGTGGATATTTCCTGAAGGAAGGAATTCCCTATCACCTGGTTCTACTAATGCAATCAGATGTGACGGGAACAAAATTCCCAACACATTCTGCCAATTTAACACTAGATTCCCCCCTCCATGCTAAATGGCCTGGAAGCCCCGTGCCAGGCCGTTGCTTACCAATCACTGTCAGAACACCCGACCTGTCAGAACACCCAAACTGATTGGATGCCGTCGCTGTTTGGAGAATTTTCAGCCATTCCCTTTTGACAAAAGTCTACTGAAAAATGTACTTTTGTCGAACGGAGTGGTGCAGAAGGGACCACACGCTGCTCATAGCAGGACCGGACCGAAATTCAAGCAGTGTATGGCCAAGCTTTAGCCGCCAATCAGTATGCCCCCCCTTCAGCAAAGTATCTGCAACAGGTATGTGCGCCCCTCTGCGTTTGTATTGCTGGGCATCATCCTGCAACAATTCTGCAATTACTAAAGTTAAGAGAGACTTTTACTGTAAAAAGCTGGCCATACATGCCACAATTTTTCATTCAGCCCTGCCGGGTTACAGCATCCACCCTAAACTGCATGGAGGGAGGAATCTCCCCTGCCAGCCACTGTTAGTGCTCGTGACTATCAGAATACCTGCACAGTGAGGGCGTCTGATTGGCTGCCGTCACCATTTGGCCAACAATTTTCCACTGGGCTCCTCTTACACAAGTCAATTAAAAAAATATATTTTTGATGTGATGGGGGCACCCTCAGATCAGGTATCGGCCGATTTCTGCCGAGTCTACCAAAATTTGCTCTGTGTGTGCCCAGCTTGAACAGACGCACATGCAAGGACTGGTCTGGGTCGGGTTTTATTCTGTCATTGCGTGGCTTTAGAGTGAGGAATTTATGACTTGGGCTGTAACCTTGTTATAAATCTGTAGCACAATCTCTCTCATAGCTCCTGTTTAGAATGACCGTGCTTTGCGACTATATAGATAAATATTAGCTATGGAACACAAGGCAAGAACCACACAACATTATACTGAAGTGGAGACATTTTTTCTTCAGCCAGGTGACTTCCTGCCAAGCAATGCCATTAAAGGCCTCTTAACCTGAAGAGAACATTGAACACCAGGCTGCACTTGCTTCTTAGCACACTATGTGGTCAAAACGTTTGTGGACACCTGACCACCAACACCTATAGGAGCTTGATGGACATCCCATTCCAAAACCATGGCCTGTAATATGGAGTTGCCCCCCATCTCCTTCCTTCCTTGCATCTATAAAGGCCTCCATCCTTCTGGGAGTATGTCTGCAGGAACAAAGCATCTGTAAGGCCAGGTACTGATGTTAGATGAGAAGACCTGGCTCACAATCGGCGTTCAATAGGGTTGAGGTCAGGGCCTTGCACAGGCCATTTGTTTTCCACACCGACCCTCACAGCATTTTCTTCTGGAGCTACTTTGCTCACCTGAACTCTAGAATCAGTTGGGGTGTCCACATACTTTTAGTCCCAATGACATAAAACGCCAAGCAGTTCAGTTTTTGTCATTTAAAAAAAAGGTATCGGTGGTACCAGGGACCGTTTGATACAGGGCCGAGCAACCGTGGCACTCCAGCCGATGTAAAACTATCAATGACACCATGCCACTGCCTCTGGGAGTCATGCCTGTGGTTGTCAGAGTCTTGCAATGCCTCATGGGACTCGTAGTTCCAAAACAGCTGGAGGGCCAAGGTTGCCTACCTCAGATTTAACTGCTATTGCAGGTTTACTTGTTGTTATTAAAACACCAATAAACTTAGCAGGTTCTTTATTAAAGAGAAGCTGAAAGTTCAACCAGAACAGTATTAAAGGCTTTTCAAAACAAGGAATGAATGTAACAAGCTTGAGGTGCTGAGGGAAGACTTTTCACAGAACGCAGGTGACATCCGGTCAGACAACATTCCGAAAATCTTATTCACAACGTTTAGTACTTGTCGTACAATAAAAATAAAAAGTAGGGATGCACCGATACTACCGTAGTACCGGTGCTGATACAGAGTATTTGGGCGAGTACTTGTACCCGCCCAAATGCTCCAATACCTTCCCCGATACCGGAACTTCCTGTATCCTGGCGGTCTGTAATGAGCTGAAGCTTCAAGCTTCCTTGTCACCTGGTGACGAGGGAGCACGGAGCCAGCTTTCCGGCCAATCAGGAAGTCGGGCGGTGAGTCATTGCATGCCGTCCGGCTTCCTGATTGGCTTTAACAGGCCCCATGATGCAACAGGAGCCATTTCTCTACGCTAAACGCTGCCATTTATCATCTGCGGTAAAGGAAAGGGTGAGAAAGACACTAATGTTCCACATCGGATTACATAGGACCCCTTCCTCATTATAAAAAAGTGAGAAAAAAAAACAATTGGCTGGACATTATACTTTCATTAGCCACTTGTTCTGAATTAATGATAGGCCATTAGACCGGAGGCCTCCTTTAATAAAATAAGCTCAGATGTCGCTAACATAAAAAAAAAGAAATTAAATAAAAACATCAAAGTTATGAAACTTGAAAGCTTGCAGCGGTTTCCTATCAATTTACTTCTGCTTATTCTGAAGAAGACACAGAGCGTTTGTCACACTTCCTGCTGCCAGGCCAACATCCGTTTATAAAATGAGATGAGGTTAAAATAGTCAGCGGCAACCAGCTGTTTAGGTACTACAATTCTCAGCAAACCCTGAGGTTAGCCCTCAACTACGCCTCTGGGTGCCCATGACCGGAACACAATGTCAGTCAGAAACATGGCGGCCATCTTGTTTTCTTACTGCAGGAAGTACACAAAGAAACAAGGACCTCACTGGGGTCAACCCGAGCAGCCATTTTGTAGTCAGAAGGAATGTTTGTTACAATGCAGCACACTGTTTACCGAGAAGAACGGACTCTGGTAATGCTGCTGCTCATCAGTTACTTGGCACCAAGCTTCTCAAAATGGCCGCCAACAGTGACACTAAACTCAGGAGTTAAACCTTAAAAATGCATTCAAGTATCTTAACTATTCACAATACTGGGCTTTATTGGTGTCGGTGCTGACACTGTCCTTTCTTCTGGAGGGGACTACTTTTGTTCCCCATGGTCCCTGTGTGTGTTGTAAAGTAGTCACTGCTCCAAGCTCACTCCTGTGATTGACTACAATCTCAATACAAATGAGTAAACTAAACCTGAGATTGTAGTCCATCCCAGGAGTGAGCTTGGAGCGGTGACTACTGTACAACAAACACACACAGGGACCATGGGGAACAAAAGTAGCCCCCCCTCCAGAAGGAAGGACAGTGTCCGCACCAATTCAGAGATGATTTGAGGAGATTGGTTATCTCCTACAAGCTACAATGAAGATGTCGCACTTTAAGAGATGGCCTACGCATATATGTGTGCATGATATAATGGCTTCGTACCGGCTTTAAAAATTGGGCAAAGCCAGAGGTTTGGGTAATTATCTACCCGCCCTGATCCCCAAGAGGTTAAAGAAGCTGATGTGGGATTAGCCAAACCAGAAAACACACAAAATAGACACATCAGCCAAGCCGGCCTTTGTAAATTCCCAGAATTGTCACAGGGTGCTTACAATGTTAGTCAATAGAAGCCGCACTTACCTGAATCCACCATGATGTCCTCATCGTTGCCTGTGCTGTCTTCATCCCGGAACACCACCTGCTTTCCCTGTCGTATGACCGTTCGTTTCCCTAGGTTCACCTCCGTGTACTCAGTCTTTATCTCATCGGTGTCGTCAGAGACCATAGTCATGGATGCGCTGCTGTCCATGCTGTTATTACAGCTCTCCAACATCGGCTCTGCGGTCTCATGCGGCGGGGACATCTTGAGATCCAGTGCGTGGTCAGGTATTGGTGGAATTGGAGGGATTGGAACGGGAAAAGAATCTACCGGACAGGGGTCTTCTGGCTCCAATTTTATGAAGGCTTTGACATATTCCTCCTCCTTCAGCGCTTGCTGCTCTCTCTTCTTCAGCTTTTTCTTTCTCTTGATCTTGTCGAGTTTCTTCCGCTCCAGGAGGAAACTGCTGAGCTTGGAGCGTTTCAGCATGGAAGGATAGGAGCGGTCATGTTTTAGCTCTACGAAACTTCTGCGCTTTTTGATTGGTAGAGTCCCCGTGTTCGGGAGGTCTTGGAACCTGGAGTCCCAGCTGTCGCTGTCCACGGTACTTCCTGTGCTGTTTGGTGGGCTGGACCCGGCTCGGAGTGGAGACTCCTGGAGAGACCAACATAAAAGACCATCAATCATGTTAACAGTAAACTCTAGTTTCTTAAAGTGTATCTCTACCAAAACTGAATTTTGTTGGTTTAGCTATAATGGGGGAAGGGTATAATGTCAAGCTTTTACTGCAGCCTGTGCCCCTGCTACTGATTAAGCCTACTCAAACTGGTAGCCATTGCCCCCTGGGCAGGAAATCCAAAACTTTAGTTATCCTGCAACAGAAGGTGAGGAGAAACCTTCCAACATGTGGGACACATGCTGTGGTAAAAACCTGAATCAAATGCGGTTGCTCCTAATTTTGAAGAGCTTTTCTGTCATTTCCTGTTGAGTCTCTGCAACAGGAAGTAACGGTAAACTCCTCAATATGGCACAGACATCAGAAAAAGAGAAGTGAAAGGGGTTCAACTGTTCCCTACTCTTAGTTTTGGTCAGAGATACAGTTCAACAATTGATATAAGATACAGAAGGGTTGCACAAACACTTTGTTATGGGAAATGGTCACAAAAAAAACTTTAATGTTGCATCAGCTGTTTTTTTCTAGAAGACCTGGAACTATTTTTCAACAATCTTTATTACATATACTAGATGGCCAAAAGGGTTTGGACACACAATACCTTCAAAATTACTGAATTTACGTGTTCCCAATAAAAGGGTCCTGTTTATGGTGCAGCATTCAAAGACATTTTAGACTATGGTGTGCCTTCAGTTTTGTGAAGGACCTTTTCCATTCCAGAATGACCTAACCCCCTTTACACAAAGCCAGCTCCATAAAGACATGGTTTAAGGAGTTGGGTTAAGGAGTTGGGTGTGGAGGATTTCGAGTGGCCTTCACAAATTTCTGACCTCAACCCTACTGAACACCTCTGGGATGAATTGGAACGCCCATGAAGATATTTAGACAGCTGTGCTCTTTCAAACTTGTGGTAACAGTCTGGTGAAAACCCTTTTCTGTTCCAGCATGACTGTACACAAAGCCAGCTCCATAAAGACATGGTTTGATGGGTTTGGTGTGGAGGAACTTGAGTGGCCTTCACTGAGCCCTGACCTCAACCCTATTGAACACCTCTGAACTGGATGAACTGGAACGCCGATAATGGGCCTATTCTTCTCTTCCAGCATCAATACCTAACCTCACAAAAGCTCATTTGGCTCATTGGACACAAATTCCCACAGGAACACTCAGAAATCTTGTGGAAAGACTTGCAAAAAGAGTGAGGGCATTACTGCTGCAAAGGAAGGGGGGGGTCATGGATTTGGAATGGAACATCCAACAAGCTCATACAGGTGTGATAATCACGTGTCTATATACTCTTGGCCATACAATAGGAATTTATCAAAACTGGAGCAGGCACAATCAGGAGCAGATCTGCATGGCAACCAATCAGCTTCTATCTCTCATTTTCAAATCTTTCCTGAGCAAACTGAAAAGAGATGCTGATTGGTTGCATTGGGCCACTGCTGCAGATTTTGTCTGCTCCAGTTTTAATAAATCCCCCACCCCTTCCTTAACCACCATCATATGTGTATTTTCCTTAAACCCCAAAATATTTCCAGACTTTCACCCCTCAGTCACGTAGTACAGAAATATTTAAGGATCTTTTTTTTTTTTTTAAATTCTCCTTCTGGATCATAAAACCCAGAAAAGTCTCTCCTTTCCCCAAAACAAACACATTTCCCGGTCTGAGGCTGCAAATATTTCCCCGGTGGGATAATTCCCCCATGGTGAATGATTGCATTCACTTCTGCAGTGTGCCAGAATAAGAGAAGGTTCAACGGCACAATTTTTCTCCCCCCTCACAAGACGGCGTGCTTGTTAATTTATGTAGAAATACGAGAGGCCCCAGTTCACCGCCTCGCACCTTCACACCTCACAGAGGAGGCTTCATAGTCCTCCGATAAGAACGCATGCAGCTGAATCTCCAGCAGTGTTATGGTGGAAGGCAATGAGGACGGCGAGCCATCTGAGGACTGCAGTGCCATGTCATAGGATGCATGCATTACGTTTAGGATTGTTTGATCGTCCTAAAATAGATTAAAAGAGCCGTAAGAAAAGTCCATTGGGTATTCCGACAGCCACGGCCGCCAGCTAACAGAATAAAATAGCCAGCAGGGAAGATTCTAAAAAGCGTGGATGGGAGAATGGAAAGAGAGAGAGAGAGAGAGAGATCTTAATGCATGTGGACAGCAAAAGTCAACAGTGAATTGTATGGAAATTTTCATGTGTGTGGTGCCATGCGAGACTGGATCCAACCATAACATCACCATAATAATAGATGATTGTGATTGGCTGAGGAGTGGGATCTGACCTAACTTTTTTTTCTTTTTATATGGTGCCCATTTTTTCCATGGGCACAATAACTACACGAGGGCAGTAGTACAATGCCAACATGGCTGTAGGACATCTAATGTCTAAATTGGCCTTCAAGCTCCCTGTGATTCAGGATTTTGGCTTGCAGCCCTTATGTAGGCGAAACTTAACAGGGCATGCTGGCAGTTTTAGTCCCACTGATGGAGTCCTAATACCGTGAAGGCATTGTATCAAGTTCCAGCCCCGTGGGCCCTGCACAGCCGTTTACTGCAGTGTGTCATACAACGCCACCCCCGATATGTTTAGAGCCGGAGATAATCAAATCAACAGCGAGGTAATTCCATCAATGCTACACGGCCACGTCACCGCACAAGAATGTCAATGACGACTGTTTCACAACCTCACTGTATCTCTGCGAGGCAAATAAAAGAGACGCCGCAACGTCCTGTGACGCCGCATAGGCTTGTTTGAAGTGTACCGGTCATATTAAAAAAGACAAACATGTTTAACTGACTTGGAACTGACAGAAGGCAACGGAAATGGGTGTGAGCAGATCTTCTAAGGTGCGGCTGGCAAGATCATGAACCAAGGTGCACCGCAAGGCCTTGACTCTAGCCCTAGGTCAGAGGTCTGGAAACCTGCAATACAGTAGGTGCATGCACTGCAGAGTGGTCAGAGAATGCCACTTGGCAGGGGGGAACAAAGCAATGCAGGTATGAAGTGAGGGCACCTAGAGTTTTCAGAACATACCTGCATGCTGCAACCTCAAACCTACCATGGCCAACACTCAAGTTGTTCTGACAGACAAAGTATGAAGATGGCTAAAACTGGCCTGGCCTTACCTACCTCCTGCACATTCCTATTGGCCACCAAGGCTGCCTGTCATAATGATGGGCCAATAGGAATGTGAGAGAGCAGGGCTTAGTGGCCTTCTCTGACCAATCCAGAAGTGCTAGAGCTTTGCCTGTGAGTACGATCAGGGATTCGGCCATAACAGGAAGGTTTGGGAGGCCACTGAAACCCTAAATGCCTACTTCTGCAGAGGTTTACCCCCCTACGCTCCAGTGACAGAGTACCTGTAAATTGTGGACAAATGAATATGGAATTTAGGAGCCGGTTTGTCTGAACCAGGAGCCAGCAGAATTTTGTAAGGGGCCAGCTCCATTGACAACAACTAGAGAAAACCTCAAAAAGTTAGGCACCAGCTGTCATTTTTAAGGAGCATCAACTACCTGGCTCCCGGGATTGGTCCAGCCCTGCTATAAAGCAAATGACGAGGCCTGCTTTCTGAGTTTGCCCCGGTTCAGAGGAACCCTAGCTGTACACAAGGCTACCCACAGATATCACACTGTGCTCACCACCTAAAAGAGAACTAAAGCCAAACCTATTTCTTGGCTATAGTTACCGTTTGGGTCACAGGAGTACATTTACTCCTGTGACCCAAGGTCAGCATATGGCAGGCCAGAAAATATCAGCTCAGGATCCACCCCACTGCCTGATTGACAGCTGGCTCTGCATCTCTAGAGTCAGCTGTGTCTGCCCCCTCCCCTGTCTGTCCCTCCAATGAGCACTGGAGGAATAGAGAAAGGGGGGGGGGATCCCTGCAGGAGACTGTGACTGACAAGTCACCACTCTCTGCATAGAGAAGTATTAAGCTGAGCGATTTGTGATGACTCAGTTCTCAATTTATAAAGCCAACGCGTGACGGCTGCAGTGTCCCCACCGGCCCTAACTATTGGCGAGATCACATTTGACTCTCCCAATAGTTCTCCTTTAAAGGATCTTCTGTAACAAGCCTGAAAGCAAGAAGGCTCATTGGCTTTACCAGAAAGCTCATTAGCAATACACACATGCAACAGTGTCAGGTGATACAGAAACGGTGCTTCCCGGTCCAGGAAATGTAAGAGAATTATCTGCAATCATTTGATTATATGGAGTAAAAAACAGACTCATGAGATTGGCTGAGCCCGCCACCCTAGCTGGTAACATTCATGTATAAAAGATCTGCCAATTGTCAGGCCTGCCCGCTGTCACACGGGGTGTTGGGGGAACAGACCAGTCCCTGTGTAAGCTCCAGCACTGGTGTTGGTTTGGAACATACACAGCAATCAGGTAGAGGGCTCCAGCGCTTGTGTAGTGTGCAGGTATGTATGCAGTCCTTAACAGGCCTGCTCAAAAGAGAACCTGTCCCTCTAATTTAAGTAACGCATGCTTCGATCCTTTCATGCGGTCCTCAACTCCCGCCCCTAGCCTGGCTAGCACAGCTCAGCGTTCCAGCAAAGCTACTTGCGCAGCTGCTGAATTCCAATATCTTTATAATACACACCAGGGGGTACTTTCTCCTAAACAAAAAAATATATCCCGTTATTGTTTGAGGAACCCCCTTTGGGGGGAAAACTACTGAAAGAGTAATGTTCTGCGTGCATACACGTACTCATATCGGCAATAAACCTTGATGAAAACAATATAACCGGCCCGGCTCATCCCTCAGAGAATAACATATGTACTCACACAGTAGCTTACCTCTTCGGGGTACGGTATGTAGCCGGCATAGGCCAAGACAAATGTGCAGAACTTATTGAAATCCTCCACGGTCCTTCTCTGCCGGTAGTTCGGCGTTCCATCCTGAAGAGGAAACAAAAGTCTCATGGTGAGTTCTGGTTTTAAATGGACAAATGATCACTGACCCGACATATAACAAATTCATGTTCTGGCAACACAAACAACACAAAAGCGCTCTGCTGGATTAGGGCAGGTATTACTTTGATAAAGGCGGGGGGGGGGGGAACGACACCTTTTTTATCATTACTTTACACCCGACAATTTAAATATGCAATATTCCTAAAATTTACCAACATAAAATGTAGATGGCAACTTGACTGAACACAAATTTGAATGGATTGTTGAGGTATGAACCCAGACCCCACAGCTGACCGGAAACTTATCACACATTGCAACTGAACAATTAAAGGGCCCATTTACACCATAGTGTTGCGTTAATTGCACGATACCATGAGGTTACCACAGCGTATTGTGCACTAGGTGTGTTGCACCCCCATTTATTTTAACGGCACCCCACCGCAGTGCATTCAGGCCGCTGTGCATTGCAGTGCATCGCGATGCATGGTACTTCAGTACCGCATGTTGCAAAAGCACAGTGGCCAGGAGGTGCATTGGGGTGCCATTTGAAAAAACGGCAACTCACTTAGCTTGCGGTAATGCCAGCTAGGTACGACGTGCAATAGCGTGCCTAAATCACATGGTTTCATGCAATTAACACAACACTATGGTCTGAATGGGCCCTTAATGTCTGTGGGCAGCCGACAGCGATACCAGGCGGACAAACCACCCAGGTGAGGAACCACTTCCCCTGAAGGAATCGCTCCCTTGCTAGCCCCTGGCTGCTTGCTAGCAAGTGAGCAATTTCTGTTGGCAGCACAGTGAGCTTTTGCAGGTTAAATAAAATGCATTTCTTCCTGTAGGGGGAGCTACCTTGCTCTGCAGAGTCTCCCTGGATGCAGGTTGTAAACACACTGATGTGCCTGCTGCGTGTAATTGCATGAAGCCACCTGTTCCTCCCTATGGGAGGGTGGGACTGTACATCCGTGCAGGTCTGGGTGCCCACACTTGGATGCAGACAGTCCCAGTACGGGCACCCTGACCTGCACGAATGTAGTTTCGGGTCAACTACTCCAAAGGAAAAAGGATTATAAGCGATCCTGTTGCAGATTATTCATCTGACATCACCCTAAGTCACAACACATCTCTATACGCTCCATATAATGTGCCGCTGTGCTTTGTGACAACACCTTGCACTGTACTTTTTTCTTTTTCTTAAAAAAACTTTATTGAAATGTCACAAAAGGACACTTCATTCAACTCTATGTTCAACAGTGCTTTGCAACGTACACCAACGCACCCGTATGCTGTGAACAGGGCACATAGAACAATTGTTTTCTATTTGTTCTTGCGTTGCTTCTGCTCCTTCTGAGCCTGATGAAGGGGTACTGCTGAGACCCCGAAAGCACTTGTATTGGATGGCGATTTGTCAATAAAGGACTTTTTGCTTCAAAACTTTTGGTGTGCTGGTGACAATCCTTTCTAGATCAACGCAGCTCGACGCACTTGGTGCACACGAGCACTTAGACATTTTTAAGCATTTTGTGTATATGGAAAGCTTTCTGTCCTGGGATCTCCATTTAGAGGGTATTTGTTGCTTTTTCTGAGCGTGTACAGACATTTTCATTTGACAGTGATCAACAACTGCCTCACTGAATATGAAAATAGTCAATGAAAGGGATAATCAGACATGTGAGCTGCCGCTTTCTCTGGGCACGGGTACTGTATGGGTGTAAAAACGTATCTGCGGATGACGAGAGACGCGGCACTGAGGCTTTGTTTGATCTATATAGAACTCAGAAGGTGGTGGTGATGGGGAATTCAAACTAGTTGCCTTGTGCCGTATGCAAGGCAAGGAACGGCCACATGGGGGAGCCGCTGCGTACTTGTAGGAAATATGTTAACAGTTTCAGTGCCATGAGCTGAAAGCTTCCTGCCATCACAATGCATTCCCACTGACTTGTATAGGAGGGAGAGCAACTGCTGAAACGCATGCTGTGTTTACGATGATGCAAGGTATGTGCTCCATAAAATTCAACATTTAAGCCTTGCATTCCAGAGTCTCCTAAAACTCTTTTGTAAAGCTCATCAGCAACAAAACACAGATGTATACCAGCCCTAAGATAAGTAAAGCTGTTGCACGCCGCCATTTTGGATGTGATGTCAGCAACCCCAGCAGACTCCGAGCTGTCACTCAAAAGGACACTCTATAGCAGGCAAACTGACCCTCCAGCTGTGGTGGGACTACAAATCCCAACATGCATCTGCCTCCAGGAGTCATGCCTGCGGCTGTCAACAGTCTTGCTATGTTGAATGGGATTTGTAGTTCCACAGCAGCTGGAGGGCCAGGGTTTTCCTACCCCTGCTCTAGTATAGCCATTCACCTCTTCCCTGGCAGCTACAAGCTGTATATGTTGGGGGGTGAGCAGTAGAGAAGCTGGGCCAGCACAGACCATACCCCCGCAGTATAGTATTCCCATTCACTTCTTGCCTGGCAGCTACATAAAAGCTGTATATGTTGGGAGGG